AATTATATATATATATATATATATATAAAATCCCTTAATTCTTGGGTTTGTTGACTGTTACGTGTTAAATTACATTGGTTACTTTTTTCGCTCAAACTTTTTCTTCACACGCTTTACAAAACAATCGACCATATTGAAAAAAGTAACTGTCCAAATCGGCTTGTAAACCATATGATTTAAGTACTTTGAATATGGCATAGTTAACCACTTACCAAAGATTAAAACTCACACGAATCTTAATTCCGTCGTCTACCCGCGCCAAAACAAGACTCACCATTTTGACGTGCACCTCGGAAAAAAAACCTTTGGGGTCCCAAAAGAACAGAGAAGTCCATAAACCGGTCGGCAATCTATGACAATGGGAGTCACCCCCATCGAGCCATCAGGCTTCGAAAACTCGTTTGAAAACGGAATCCCTGAACACAAGAGCTGTAGCATTTGTAAACAAAAATTACCCAACTTTGAAATGTGGATTAAACTCGTTTCCACCTGTTTCGCACGTTTGATGTTTGAATCGTGTTACTTTAGAGTGAAGAAAAAAAAGTTTGAAAAGGGGAATGAATCTAGTAAAAATTTAAAAAAAAATGTGCCATTTAGTCATTAATTTGGGGAAATTATATGCATTTTAAAAAAAAAATTGTTGAGAATGTGCAATTATGTGCTACATTGTAAACATATTTTTGGTTAAATTCAAGCAAAACAATGAAGTGTATTCTCTATATAGATATAAAAAATGTTCAGTTGATCTGGGAGATGTTGAGAGTATATTTGCAAATTGCATGAAACGTCCGGGCCCTACCATTCAACGTAAAAAGAAGAAAAAATTTACTAGTAGGGTTATATCCAATAAGAACTCAAACAATTTTTTCAAATATCAGATACCCAATTTCGTATAATATAACACCTTTACTTCACACTTGAAGCCAAAATTGAAACAATCTGCAGTATCAGAGTACTCATCAAACCAGAAAAAGAACCGATAAGAAGAAAAGGCAGAAAGGGGCCACAAGATTTACATTTTCTTGTGTCTGAACACAAACAATTCAGTACCTAAAGTGTTGGAGGGCGCAATTGAAATGCGAACGAATAATAATCAATTAAATAATCAAGTAAAATTGGAAGATAAGGATGATTGTAACCATTTAAAAATATAATATACTTTCGATGGACAATTGCAATCATTCAAGATCTCTAAAAAAATGTAGTGGTTTAATTAATTTGGTTAACAAGCAAGCTATACTCAGAATTTGTTGATCCTTTTCGAATAGGGTTGATGGTTGCTAACAAAATTTATAGTTTCAACAAATGTAAAACCCATGGCCCATAATCATTTTTCATTGATGTTTCTCAAGTGAATGCGTTTTGCAGTTTAAGGTAAATTTTAAATTTTTTGTTATTTATATTATTTTTGTGTCTCTTTTTAGGGTGCTGCAGCTAATGAATTTTAACAGAGGATTCTGCTTGCCCAAGGTGGTTGTGAAAATTGGAGCTAGCATGCTTAGTTTCTTGAGCAATTCCGAAAAAATTATGTGGGTGATCAGAGTTAAATATTAAACGTTTATATGTTATTTCCTCTATATTTTTATATGGTTAGAGAAAAATTAAGAACCAGATCCTCTGCATAAGATTTTTTCTTGTGGATATTAGTTGTTGTTGGCTAATGTCATCTTTCTAGCTTTCTATATGTACAATAGCTTCATAAATTTTTAATTATTAATTTAAAGAAAATGCAGTTCTGACCCTTTCAATACTTAAACCAAAAATCATACAGGTACAGAAGAACTCAAAAGGTGTTATCGTCGTTCACTCCGGAAGTTTTAGGTTTAAGTGATGAATTCTATGTTCTAAGTGTATTCATAAGAAAATGTAAGTAGGGAATTTGACTTTAACTGGCCAAGAAGACTTTATCTCTTGCTGAGACTTTCTCAAAACTTATTCATTTTTAAATATTGTGTATTCTCTTTTTCAGCATCACAATCTTAAATATTGGGGCCGAAGTGAACCAATAATTCTCAAAAACCACTCAGTTATTGAGTGATGTGTCTGTTGAGAATATAGTTGCGTACGTTTAAACTTGTGTAAAACTGGAGGAGGGGTTTCCAATTATGTTATAATCATTACTAGTGAAATTTCCCACGTTCCTCGGAAACCAGCGTGCTGTTAGTGAAATGAGATGTCGTTCTATGTTTACAACATCCCTTGGAAGGCTCTTAACGCGTAGATTTAGGGCGAAGATTGAAGATCGTTTTTGATAATTTCATGCATTTCCTTTAACAGTTGTTATTCTTCAGTTTTGTGACAATTTGAGAAAATATCTATATTTGCTGTTTATAATGTTTGGAAAAAAATGTATTGACATTGATTATTGCATTTTATTTTGGCAAACAGCTGCATTCGAGTTCGATATCTCTCTCTTATATATATTAAATCCTCTTAATCTTGTTTTGTACTGTTTACGTGTTAAATTACATGGAACCTTTTTTTCGCTACCAACTTTTTCTTCACACGCTTTACAAAACAATTCGACCATATTGAAAAAAGTAACTTCCAAATTCGCTTTGTAAACCATATGATTTAGTACTTGAATATGGCATAGTTAACCACTTACAAAAGATAAACTCACACGAAGCTAATTGCATGTCTACCCGCCGCAAACAAGACTCACCATTTTGATCCGTGCACCTCGACTGGGTCCAAAAGCAACAGAGAAGTCCATAACCCTCGGCATCTATACAATGAGAAGTCACCCATCGAGCCATCAGGCTTCGAAAAACTCGTTGAAACCGGGAAATCCCTGAACACAAAGAGCTGTAGCATCTGTAACAGAAATACCAACTTTGAAATGTGGATAAACTTCGTGTTCCACCTGTTCGCACGTATGTGAATCGTGTTACTTTAGAGTGAAGAAAAAAGTTGAAAAGGGAATGAATCTAGTAAAATTTAAAAAAATGTGCCATTTAGTCATTAATTTGGTGGAAATATGATGCATTTAAAAAAAATGTTGAGAATGTGCAATTATGTGCTACATAAAACAATGTTAAATTCAAGCAACAATGAGTTATTTCTATATAGATATAAAAATGTTCAGTGTATCTGGGAGAGTATATGCAAATGCATGAACGTCCGGGCCCTACCATTCAACGTAAAGAGAAAAATTTACTAGAAGGTATACCAATAAGAACTCAAACAATTTTTTCAAATATCAGATACCAAATGTTCAGTATAATATAACACCTCTACTCACACTTTGAAGCAAAATTGAAACAATCTGCAATACAGGTACTCATCAAACAGAAAGAACCGAAAGAAGAAAAGCAGAAAGGGGGCCACAAGATTTAAGTTTCTGTGTCTGACACAAACAATTCAGTACCTAAAGTGTGGAGGCAGCAATGAAAGCGAAGAATATAATCAATTAAATAATCAAGTAAAATGGAGATAAGGATGATTGTAACCATAAAAAATATATACTTCATGATAATGCAATCATCAGATTCTCTAAAAAATGTAGTGGTTTAATTAATTTTGTAACAAAGCAAGCTATACTCAGAATTTGTTGATCCTTTTCGAATAGGGTTGCTAACAAAATTTATAGTTTCACAAACGTTAAGAACCATGGCATAATCATTTTCATTGATGTCTCAAGTGAATGCCTTTTGCAGTTTAAGGTAAATAAATTTTTGTTATTTATATACTTTTGTGTCTCTTTTTAGGGTGCTGCAGCTAATGAATTTAACAGATTCTCGCTTGGCCCAAGGTGGTTGTGAGAAATTGGAGCTAGCTATGCTTAGTTTCTTTGAGCAATTCCGAAAAATTTATGTGGGTGATCAGGTAAATATTAAGACGTTATATTTATTTCCTCTATATTTTTATATGGTTAGAGTAAAAATTAGAACCAGATTCCTCTGCATAAGATTTTTCTTGTGGATATTAGTTGTTGTGGCTAAATGTCATCTTTCTAGCTTTCTATATGTACAAATAGCTTCATTAAATTTTAATTATTAATTTAAAGAAAATGCAGTCTGACCTTTCAATCTAACCAAATATATTACAGGTACAGAAGAACTCAAAAGTGTATCGTCGTCTCTCCGAAGTTTTAGGTTTAAGTGATGAATCTATGGTTCTAAGTGTATTCATAAGGAAAATGTAAGTAGGAATTTGACTAACTGGCCAAGAGACTTTATCTCTTGCTGAGACTTTCAATCTTATTCATTTTAAATATTTGTATTCTCTTTTTCAGCATCACAAATCTTAAATATTGGGGCCGAAGTGAACCAATAATTTCAAAAACACTTCAGTTATTGAGTGATTTGTCTGTTGGATATAGTTGCGTACGTAAACTTGTAAAACTGGAGGAGGTCCAATTTATGTTAAATAATCATACTAGTGAACATTTCCCGTTCCTCGGAAACAGCGTTGCTGTTAGTGAAATGAGATGTCGTTCTATGTTTTACACATCCCTTGGAAGGCTCTTAATGGTAGATTTAGGGGAAGATGAAGATCGTTTTGATAATTTCATGCTTCCTTTAACAGGTTGTTATTCTCAGTTTTGTGACAATTTGAGAAATATCTATATTGCTGTTATAATGTTTGAAAAATGTATTTGACATTGATTATTCATTTATTTTGCAACAGCTGCATTCGAGTCGATAGGTACAATGTTGGCATCAGCAGAGACACCTTTATTTGCTGCTGAAGAAGCTAAAAAAGCACTAATTGGATTATCACGTGATCTTAGAGGATTGGCATTTGCTTTCAATACCAAAACATCGTACATGATGTTATTCGATTGGATGTATCCTTTTTATTAATTAAAAATCTGCAATCTGTCTTTTTAGGTCTTTCTTTTGGTTGTTGGAATAGAGTATTTTGCCATTGCAATATGTACTCAACCAATTGACGTTTGTTGATATTTTTGAAAATTTCCAGGCCATTTGCTATCAGTTCCGTACAACTGACAGATTACAAATGAACAGTAAACACCAACTTCAAACAATATCATAAGCTTTCAATCAAGCAAAAATTACTGAAAATTACCTGCAGAAAGCAGTTCCTGAATTAAAAATAAAATGGCAAAAGAACTTGTAATGAAAATATATGAGAAAACTAAGTATGGGGAAAAGAATTTCAAACAGTAAACATAGTAAGAAATGGGAAAATAATTAGAAGTAAAAGATTTTTAATTACTGGGCATTTTGGGAACATAATTGGGCAAGAACAAAGAGTTTGAAAACAAAATCTAAACATTCAAATAGAATAAATGGGGCAATAAAAATTATACTTTGTAAAATCTGTAAATTCCAAAAGAGACTTACAAAGATTGGAAGCAGCTCAGATGAGGATTCTTAGACATCTGGGTAGAGTTACAAAACTAGATTTACCCAGAAATAAAGAAACGACAAAAATTGAAGGAAAAGAAACATGATGTAAGGGAATACCATTTTAATGGTTGAACATGTGGAAAGAATGGAGGATTACAGTATGAGAGCTAGTACTGAAATACATCTTGGCAGAAGAGACTGAGGAAGACGAAAAAAGAGATGGAAACAACAGGAAAAGGGCACTCCTAAATCCTGCCCCCTAATAGTTCATGATTGTGATAATGATGATGATGAAATATTACTGTTCAGTAATTCTTGGGTTGTCAGTCATGAAGTAAAATATTGTAATGAAATATAAAATATGTTTTACAAAAGTATGCCTGTTTTTTCACAATTTGCTTTTGTTTAATATTAAAATTAACAATAATCCTCAAAGGAGTTGTCACTGTTATTCCATACCAGTTTTAGGCTTTCTCAGTTGTAGGTCACTGTTTGTAATGCATTGGTTTGGATATAATTTATCTGACAAAAATTAATTTGTGTTTAGAGAAAACCATTCTTTTATACTATTGATATTAGCTGAAATAATCTGAGGTTGCCTGGATATTTATATCTGCTCCATCCTGTCCCAAATTCAGAGTCACATCGTGCTTTGTTCTGCAACACTAATTAAGAATATCACCACCTGTAACTATGCTCTATAATGCAGGTTTCAGTAACACAATTTTCTGTAGCCAATTGTAGCTTTTGTCTGGCCAAATTTTGGTTAACATTTTGGTGTTGCAGATCTGCCTATTTTCTTCAGCAGCTCACAAGTTATTTGGGAACAAATACATACATGTACACATACATTTTATTTATTAATCCATGTTATGCATGATTTTTTTATTTATTATTGTGATGTCTATTCTCCTTAGCTATTTTAGATATCCAAATTACACTCCAATTCTTCTTCATGCTGTGGAACTATGGTATCATGATCCACAAGTTACAACACCAGTTCTTAAATTGTTTGCAGAATTGGTGCAAAATAGATCACAAAGACTTCAATTTGATGTCTCTTCACCAAATGGTATTCTCCTTTTCCGAGAAGCCAGCAAAGTAATTTGCAGTTATGGTGAGACATTTAATATTTCATTTCTGAAATAACAATTTGTGGCCTGTTTCTGGCATATAAGCCCAGATAGTTGAAATTTATAAATCTCTATTTCATGTGATACATTTAAATATATTTTTCATTATCTTTTAATTTTTTTTAGGAAGTCATATATTAAATGTGGAAGTACCAAAAGATCAAATATACCCAATGAAGTTGAAAGGCATATCAATATGTTTTTCAATGTTAAAAGCTGCTTTGTGTGGAAGTTATGTAAATTTTGGAGTATTCAGGCTTTATGGAGATGAAGCTCTTGACAATGCATTGAACACGTTTGTCAAATTATTGTTGTCAATACCACAGTCTGATCTTCTGGTAGGTTTTTGTCTCTTTAACTCATAGACTATGTATGTGTTAGGGGAATTGCGGAAGTTTTGTGATCCAGTTACTATTCTATACATTTCAGTGTACTTAAACGCTGGTGAAAAGTTACTGTTCACAAAAATGTAAAAAATGTTTGCATTGTCACCGGTATTACTTACATTATCACAAATTTAGTTTTGTGAATTTCACAGATCTTGTATGACATCATCAATGTTTGGACATTTAAGGTTGGCTTCTATTGTGAAACACTTGTAGATTTTGTGCATTCTTTGTTTCAGGACTACCCAAAATTGTCACAGACATATTATGTACTTCTGGAGTGCCTGGCACAAGATCATATGAGTTTTCTCTCTACATTAGAACCGAGAGTGTTTCTGTACATCCTTTCTTCGATCTCTGAAGGACTTACAGCTTTAGGTGTGAACCTCAATTACTTCACAGGTACAGTCACAGACATTTTCACTAGACCCTGTGCTGTTCCACATATCCATCCCACTGTGTCATGGACTGGATGTTGAATTTTGTTGCTGCTCTTCAATGAAGCATGATATAATTGGCTAGTTTTACTTTTGTGATTCCCTGAATTCTCATAATTGCATAAAATGCACTGCTATGGGTCAAGTGAAGTGTTGGTGACTGTTCCTTTCAACCTTACCTAATTGCATAAAGGCATGTGTTTCATTATGTAGAACAAAGTGGGAAAAGTTGCTATATGTATGTGGAATGTTACAGCTGCAAACTGCTACATAATCCAGTAAATAACACTTACTTCACTTGCAGTGATGAAATCAGCTTAGTGTTGCCTTGGATGTTTAGTGATGAGTATTTTAGATTTGCTGATTGGTTTCTGAATGTAGAATTTAATTTACAATGAATGTATCTGTATAAAAAATGAAATAACATACAAGTTTTTTTTTTTCCTTTTTTATAAGTTGCATGATTCTTTTACAATGTATGAGTAAGTATGTATATAAAAAAAAGTGGTGTGTATGTGTGGGGGTGTTAGAATGCATGATTTGATACTTTAATCCTTTCTGTCTCAATGTATCTGATACACATTCCTGAATGCTCAATGTGCACAAATAGAAACTTTCTTGCATTTTTGTTTGTAACAGCTTGTGAACAGGAGAATAAATAATGTTAAGAAATTAGGGTTACCATACTTCCATTATAGAAAAAGAGAACGCTTCATATAATTTTTTTTTTTTTTTTTTAAGACAAAATACTACTGACAATATAAATACTTTATTGTCATCACTTTCTTACAATAGACCTACTTTATTATCATTTCTGTCTTTTATACCATTAGTATTTAGTTAGTGATGGGATCTCCCTCAACAATTAAAATTTTGCTTTGAACGTTGCAACAATCACTTTTAAGAATGTTGAAAACAAGTGTTTTCTTTTTGAAATATAAACACCACAGAGCAAAATTAACTCCTTACGCCAACAGAATAGTATTAACACCATACAGCATACAATCTGTAACCAGCATCATCATACATCATGTTGTACAATATGTTGTACCAGATGATGGCATGAATGTTGCATTTCAAGGAGAAAAGGATGTACATGTAGATACAGTTTACTCATGCATTTGAGCACAGTTATTAGGTGAGATAGTTGAAGTTAAATATCATTTATTTATATAACAATAAACTATTATGTCGGATGGAAAAAGTTGAAATAATTGCAGTATCATCAATACATATTCATCTAGTTTGCATTTTACCCTTTTTAATAAAAAGAGAGGTCATTTCTTCCTTGTAAAATCCACCCTGACAGTTTTCTTATTTCAAAAGGTGGACATCTCCGGGGGAAAAGGGAAGTATGGTAACCCGTTAACAAATGTTATATTGTTTGCCGTTTAAGTTTTGAAATGTGTTAAAAGACATCTGACGTGTGTGTTTTATTTGATTTGTTGTAGATACAATGGTGTGTACAGGGTGCTGTGCAACATTGGATCATATTGTGACTTACTTGTTTAAGCAGCTAACACAGAAAGGTAAATTGAATGCGAGAATGAAATGCTGTATTAATTTTGAATATTATTTCTTTGAATTTGTATTGTTTTAAATTTTTAATTTTTTCAAAATAATATTACAAAAAAATGTAATAGGGAAGAAAACTCGAAGAGGAGTTCCCACAGCTAGTGATATGTTCCTACAAGTGCTTGAACTGCATCCTGAAATTTTGCAGCAAATACTTAGCACAGTTCTAAATGTGATAATGTTTGAAGATTGTAGGAATCAATGGTCAATGTCCAGGCCATTGCTTGGTCTTATTCTTTTAAATGAAGAGGTGAGTCATTACTTCAGAAGGTTTGATATACTTGTATTTTTCATGCAAATTTACATGTGCTGTTTGTTTTCCAGTATTTTAACCAGTTGCGTGAAAATATTATTCGAAGTCAGCCTCCAGATAAACAGGCAGCTATGTTGCAGTGGTTTGATAATTTAATGGAGGGTATAGAGAGGAACTTGCTCACAAAAAACCGTGACAGGTACATTAATTACATTTGTATTTTTTATTGTAGCTATTGTATGTGCAAAAATTTGTAAGTTACTGTCGTGATATAACATGTGCCCACTGAAACTGAACTGTCGTTGTAAACATTTGGTGAACCAAAGAAATCTAAAATTATCAAATATTTTGAATTTTTTTTCAACATGGTTTTCCTTACATTTGTTTTGCTGAAACTCTTACTTAATTTTGAGATTTCTAAATTTGTTATAGGCCTTCCAAATTTCTATTCAAATATTGAAATAAAATGTATTATTCACCCTAAATTCTTTTAAATGCTCTCATAATTAACATAGAATGTGTAAATGTAATCCAAATGCAAATAGTGAGAATTGTGTTCGACAGAGAATTTTAACTTAAACACCAAATACAGTTGAGTGTTTCCTTTTAAATTTCATTGTTCACTTTGTTTTAAGTCAAACTTTACAAACAGCAATCCCATGTCATATAAAAGAATTATCAAAACCAATAATCATCTATGGTCCACTATTATCAACAGTAATCAGTTTTGTAATGTAAGTAATATTAGTGCTAATTTATTGCCTGTGTTAACTACGATCAACATCAGTATATCGCCTTTTACTGGACAAATAATACATTTTTATTATTATTTGTAAAATGTTCATGTGAAAGTAAAATTGCTTTTTAAGAATTAAAGTTTTTCAACAGTTCAAAAACATTATTTAAAGTAAACCTGGACTGAGAGAAAATTATTGTAGTTTCACATAAAATGTACTAATTCACCCATGACTGCTAATTTATGAAAACTTACAGATTTCTGTTTAAACATATTTGAATTGAAAAAGTCCATAAATCACAATAATAAAAATAGCTTTTTACAGAATTTTCCCCATATACTAAAAAGTAATAAGATAATAGAATAAGCTAGTAGAAAGGGATATATCACAAAGATAAGATAAACAACCAAAAATAATGTGACTTTGCTATCAAATGTAAAGACTAAACTTGTCTCTTGAATACTCAAATGGCATCAATGAAAACATTGCTGTTGTTTCAAACTCGTGTAATCACCCGCATTGAAACTAAGCCATGTCATATCATGTTCAGTGTACGTTGCCCTCAAAAAGGATCAGAGGAATGATGTTCCTCTAGGTGGAATGATTTTTACTGGCTTCATCTCCTTTTCTAAAAATGATTTTTAACATTTCTTAGCCCTGGAAATACTCCCTGTCTGATATTGTGCCTCCACTTGCAGAGAAAGACAAAATGTGACAGGGTCTACATGTAGTACAATCTTGCAGATAAAGTTTCCAACTTTGTCTGTAGGGATCTATAGGAAATAATAAGGAAGAGAAAGATCAAATAGGTAATCTTGGAAATGGGCATTGAAACCTAAATCAAGCAGAATAAAGTACCTTTAAGTTCAGTTTTGTGATTCCTATTGTTTAAAGTCTTTAACTTCATCATGATTAGAAGAGGGCATATTACCAAACTCCAGTCATGAGTTTTCAATTTGGAATGATCAATCAGAAAATGTTTTAAACACAATTGATAATTCAATGAATCATTAATTTTCTTATTATGGCAATTACATTATTTATGTGAAGAAGGGAACAGGTTTGTGAAGTTTTTTCTGCCTTACATCCGAGAAACCTAAGTAAAAAAAAAAGATATTAATTTTTTCTAATGAATTTTCATTTTTCCTTGAAAGAATTAAGTGTGTCTCAAGAATTACACAGATAGTAACAAATATTGTCAAATAAAAGGATCCTTGTATTCTGTCATGTAAATTTTGAATCTTCTATAATTTAAGCTTGAGTGTTTCATTTCATGTTCTTGTTTTTAGGTTTACACAAAATCTTTCAATGTTCCGGCGAGATATAAATGACTCATTGAAGGGTCCTAATATGACAGCAGCATCTGTGAGTGACATGATGACATCGTAGTGATGGATTTGTCATCCTAGTTGCTATAAACAATTATGAGAGGTGGTGTGTCGTAGGGATGCCAATCAATTCCGAGGCCATTTTTATCTGGCTTATACAGTACTCCTTTTTTCATTTATAGCATTTACAGTTGATTTTTACAAGTTTTGGGAAGAGGACTGCATTTTTTGTGGTGATAGAATTCTAAAAGTGTTGTTTGTGGTTCACTATTATTAAACAAACCATAACAGCTCTGAAATTAGTTTCCAGTAAAAGGCATCTCTACTGGCATGTAGGAATGAACCAGTAATGGAACTGCTGAAAAAATTGACATTCTGCAAGTGGAAGAGTGAAAAATATGCAAGATGGGAAGCACCAGCTTTATTAGTGTATCTCTCATCAGGACTGAGTAGGTATCATGTTATGCTGCAGTGAGTGCTTGGGAGGTGTAATTGCAACCTGAGCTTGAATGAAAATGTGTGAATGCTGTACGGTTGGACAAAGAAAACTCAGTGCTCCTGTGATTCATTACGACAAAGTCTTAAATTTTATCGTAAATTCTAGAAGATTGGTAATGTTATTAGTGTATTCTGTATGTAAGTGAGCAACAAGAGTATCGTATTATGTGACATTTGTTATTTCTATAGCTTGTTCCCAAAATAAAGGACTTGCAATAATAATATTTTGTTGCTGATTATGTGGAGCAGTGGGACTGATAGACTTTTTGATCAAGGTTGCAAAAACAAAACAGGCAATGCCTTTCACAAAATTACATATTGTAAAAATTAATGAATTCATATACTTAAGTGTGGTTTCTCAGGGCATGTGTGAAATGTCTGTGAATCATTCGTTTCTGATATAAAACAACTTGTATTACCGAAATCAATGCACAAAATCATTTGACAATTTTTTTTAAACAAAAGATATTTTTTGATGAATTATTCAAGAATTATGCTTTAGCTTCTTGCTTATCTTTATATGGTGTTTCTGGATAAATTTTGTAGTTTTCTTATTCAAGGTTATTAAGTTTGATATAATCTACCATCCTTGTTCAAATCAGTTTCACTAGGGATGTACATTGATATTGCTTGTTAAGACTACATGATCTAAAAATGAAGTTTGAAGTTACTTTTTCTCAATTTTAAACAAGATTGCCATAACAAAATTGGTCTGAACAATGGATTGGTGGTGCACTGATTACTTCTATTCATACAACTGGGAAACCCAGAATGGAATAGCTTTAAGTTTCAAAAAAAAACTGCTTTTCTGGTGTGCCAGTTCAAGTTAGTCAGCTGGGCATTGTTCAGAGAATCACAGGACACATCCTTGATTCTCTTGCTCAGTCTTTATTTTAGACAGCTTTGTATATATGTACCTGATAGGAATGTGCACTTCTCCTGACCATCATGACAGGATGCATACAAGGTAAAAAATAAAAAGAATTCTTTTTAACCCATTTTGTTTTTAATAAACAGAAATGTTTGCCATAATTACAATTTATATAATCTTACATGAAACTGCATTAATGAAAACCTGGATCACCACTGGCTTCAAGGAAATATTCACACGTAATTGAATTAACTACAAATGGCCACAATAGGCCTATCGAAATGGCTAGTTGTAGAGTTCTCGTCTAAAACTGTTCAATGTATTTTCCCAGGGAACCTATTTTCTTCAATCTGTGTATCCCAGCGTTCTACCCAAGCTGCAGGACACATCGTAAGAAATACTTTCTTAAAATAATTGCATGGTTCATAGTCTTGACCTTTTACAGCCTGACAGCGATGATAATCAATGTAACTCTGGTAACAATACCTAAAAATCAAAGATCCAGCGTGAGTCAACATTTTAAATTAAATAATTCATTTTGTTTCACATATGAGTACTTGCCTAGTTTGGTTCTGATTTGGGAACCTTGGATCAAACGGTGCAGTTTCCAATTTTATATCATCATCTTTTTTGCTCTTTGAAGCAGCAGTTACGGCAGGCATGATTGCAGGCATACTGGAAACTGCAATGAAAATAGAATTTGAATCTTTAATTTACTCACTTCAGGTGACCTCCCACTCTTAAAATTCTAATCCCAGCCAAATTCATAGGGATAAAACATGCACATATTAGAAGCCATGCATTTAAATTTCACATCAGTAAATGTAATTGGAGAAACATAAGCATTCAAGATTGACAGTTTCTTCTATGTGAATTTTGAAAAGTTCATTATTCACTTTTTTTGTAATAAAACCAAACATTGTGCCATAAAATACATTAAATTGCAATAAAACTTCCTGCTTGTGGAATGTCATGCAACTGGAGAGAAAGTCTTGACTTTCCACTATTAAGCTATCAACTAATAACTCGGAAGAAAGTGAATGCCGCCTTGTTTTCTTTTGTAACAGGTTCATCAGTGAAATGCTAATGAAAAAAACGTTCTATGGTTTATAAAAGAAGCATGCTCTGTGTGAAGTGTACATCCATGAAATTCCCCCACGATAAATTCTACATATCCACATGCTTAATTATCTGCCACACCCACCCCATATAATCTGAATAGTTTACAATGATGGATGTGGTCCACTGATTCAAGACAACTAGTAACTTACCATGTTGACTCAATCATATACTCAATGAGATTCATTATTTATCCTTTTTCTTTTCTTAAATATATTTTTGTAGGTTCACCAGGAGAATATTCACTCACAAAACTCCACTTCACATTCAGCTAGAACCATCTACAATGAATTCTTAGTCTTTATAATCACACTAAATTTTTGACAGTGTGTTAAAATTAATGCACGTTCATCACTAAATCACTACTTAGTGCTCATCTTGAACTAAGTGGCTGGCACAGCATAGAAACCTTTTCATTTTTTAAAAAGAAAGAAAGTGCAAAATCAGAAGTGTTGAGCTTTCTCGTGCTTTCAAGATCAAATTCTGTGCCATTAATATCAATGTCTTTAACAATGTCATAAAAGAATTGCAATTTGTAAGAAATTTTAGGCAATTGGAATTTTCCAGAATTATTAACAAAACTGAACACTGGCACACGATGTAAGTCAATGCAATAATGCCACTTATCCATTCCATTCATTCAAGTACACACACTAAACATTTATCCAAGTTATTTCACTAGAGGCCTAGTCTTTCCTTCCTCTTCACAAGATGCTTCTTTATACTTGCGAACTTCAGCTATGTATAGAGACCATGCATCTTTTGGAGTCTCCTCCACCTCTTCTTCTCGTTTCTGTTTCTTAACCATTCCAGTAGGTAACACACGGCCGCCTCTTCTCTTCCCCACTATTGATAAAGGTGGTCTCTTAGGAACACTAGCTGTGCTCTCAGGAGCTGCTGGTTGGTCTTTGCTTGCTGTCGATGGTGCTTCTGTGGTTTCACCTTCTTCCTGACTAGCAGGAGGCTTATTTGCTTCTTGCATTTTTTTAAACATTTCTAGGAAGCTCCCATCATTTTGAAATACATTCCGCACTTTCTCCTGCTCTGGTTCAGAATAAGCATTAGTAGAAGCGTCTTCTGGTGACATTTCTTGTTCTCTATCACGCCAATGCCTTGAGCTCTCACCTCCATACCTAGAGTCCTCATCATACCTTGAACTTGAATACCTTCCCTCCCGATTATACCACTCTTCACTTCTACTACTTCTGTATCTTGAATTCTCAGAATATCTAGAACTCTCACTATGCCTGGGTTCATCCTGATGTCTGGAACTTTCATTGTGACGGGAATCAGAACCATATTCTGAATCTTCATTATAACGAGACCGTTCAGAGTATCTTGAACTTTCAGAACGCCTAGAGCCCTCCTCATATCTATCATGGCGACTGCTTTCACGATACCTTGAACGTTCACTGTATCTCGGACTATCATATCTATCTTTATCTCTAAACCCTTCTCTTCTATCATCTCTAGATCGAGAATATCTATCATCATCTCGAGATCTAGAATTTCTAGAATACCTCGACCCTTCATCTCTACCATTCCTTGACCTAGCACTGTCACCATACCTTACTTCATGATTAGAAGAAGAGTACCTTCCTTCATAGTTGGAATGTCTTCCGTCATAGCTATCAGAATACTTCCCACTAGGTCTTAATTCCTCAGGATATTTTGCAGGATCACTATCGTCCACACTGTCATCTGGTCTTGAACTTTCACCACTATTTCTCACTGGTTCAGAAGCATTGTCTGCATTGCTGTCCCGGTTGCTCCAGGACTTGTCTGCTTCCCGCCTGCTGTCAGCAGAGCTCGCAGCGTTGTCCGACCTATGATACACCATCGCAAGGGAGGGAGCAGCAGGTCTGTCGCCAAACTGCCCACTCTTCCCGTCTTCTTGTTCTCAGTCCACCTAAAAGGAAGAGAAACTGTCTGGTGTAATTAAGGTGCTAAAATGCAATTGGTTGCATCACAAAGGACTGCTCATTGTCCGAGTCAAACCTTTTCTATCTCGTGCAAACGCCAACTAAGTGCTGTAACCACAATCCATCATTGTAAGCCATTATTAGAGGAAAGGAAGACAGTTACAGGAAAATCAATATTTCCACAAATTTCTAAATACAAGCTGCAATAAAACTGCACCAGCTAATAACACCAATTACTTTGCACTAAAACATTCTATAATTTTGCATTCTTGCTATAGGGAACATATATAAACAAATTGGCTCGAAAAGAATAGAAATTGGTTTATCAGCTCTCTTCTTCCCTTTAAGCAATGCACATTAAATCACTAAATCAAATTATAGAACTCGCTCTGGTATGATCACCAAGCAATAAATGAATTTTGATTACTCTCATCACTTTATTAGATGTAATTCCAATGGCACAGCTATGTTAAAGCGTAAACCATCTTAAGTTGAAAGTAACATGAGAGTAACCAAAATTAATATTTAATATATAGAGAATTCAAAATTATAATAATAAAAATAAATGCATTTCAATGGCTTCCCCAAGTTCCATACTATATATCATTATTGTCACAAATCTTAAACTAAGCAGCAGATTTCATACCAATCATGAAAATATAATTATTCATTCATCTAAGTGAAAACTAGAGCAGTATTTATCACTTCAAAAATGAGAATTCACAAGTTCGATTTCATGAGTGATCTGAACCTGCAACTGAATAAAAAGTTGGCATAAAAGAATAAAGACAATGAGAAGACAAACTAATGGTGAAACAAATTTGTTAATACTGAAATTTTAAAAAATGCATTTGATATACACATTTCATTTAACACATCTCTCTTCCCAATCTTAATCGCAATACAATCTTTCACTCTCATTCATCCATTTCAAACTCATTCCTATTTCCAACATTCGCTTATTAATTCACATTAACTAGAACATGAACCAACAAGATACTGCACACCCCAAAACTTAAAATATACAGGACCGAGTTTGTATGAAATATCACCCATTGCACTGCAAAGGCATTTTGATTCACTTGACAGCTTAACCCGTTTTCTTAAACAATAACGTTTAAATTAAACAAAGTATACCACGAAAATGCTCATTGAATTCCAACTTCGATTTCTTAAAACATAAAAGACTAAACTTCTGCAGCATGAATACCAATTTTTAACGGCAAACCCGTTGTCCCATCAATGCAGGAAATGCTCATTTCATCTAGATAGTCATCAAACCCACGAAGACAACAAAAATTGCATTCTTTTTAAGACAAAAATCTCTCTACCTAATGTCCTACCTCTTCTGAACAGAATATAAAATGGCCGACAATCGAAGATACGAGAGAGCCAAGCAGTGGTCACGTTCGGTCAGGCAACATACGCTGAACCGAGTTTTGTCGAAACTAACGCAATCTGACGATCGTGTTGAATTGAGATGCTTTCCATTGTCAATGCAACCGGTGTAGCACGAATGAAAAACAAACTAAAATGTACTACAAATTCTCAGAGATCATTCGAAATTAATAAACTTCCAATCACAATCTCTATATAGATATCAGTGCTCTCGATGGATAATTTCGGAAGTTCGAATATTTTTAATAATAATAATAATAATAATAATAATAATAATAATAATAATAATAATAATAATAATAATATTTAATAACGAGTTTTCGCTCGAATAAAAATATTATTTTGTCTGCTGGAAGAAATCTAACGGCAAAATTGAATATGATAAAACTTTCGCATATATTCCGGCTAAAGTCCGAATTTGGCTAATTCCCGATATAGCAGTTCATTCTCATATTAGCCAAATGGGTAGATAAAGCCCGAAGGATAGATCAACATAGATTCATCCATGGCCGAAGTAAGAACAGCTTGGAAGAGTAACTTCGAACATATTCGAAAATGAGCACATTCGCTAATATGAGGTGGGTAGTGTAGATGGTGTGTGTTTTAAGATGATAAGGAATAGAAAATATGTGATAAATAGGTATCAGTCTGCTGTGGCAAGTTACCAAGTTTACTGAGAGAATATGTATAGTTTCGAGTTCCACTGAGTTAGTTGTAAATTTCTATGAACATTATAGCATATCGCCAAATCGTACTTTATATCTCAGTTGACACATTGCATTTCCGAGTTAAGACGGAGACTCCGGCCCTCGCGATTTACATACAACTTTGAATCTGTTCGCAACGCGTAATTCATTTTGTTAGTAATATTATTGCCAAAATACTTATCGCGAACACACAATACACTTTACACTGAGCTGTGTTGCTAATTCGCGACTTAGTCGTCCAGAATAATCCGTTCATTTGCATACATTATCCTAATTGTTTGGCGAAATGAAAGTGCAAATTAACTGGCTAACACATAGACAAAAATTGTTGATTGATTAATTATGGCTCATGGATAAATAGATGGCTGTTATACTATGGTGCAGAGTATATGCGTCAGGGGGGGGCTCTTATCTGAATTCAGCCAATGAGCTCCAGGCACCAGTTTGCATCATAATATTAGCGGGAATTTTAAATGTAAAAGTGACCAAAAAATCAATAATGTTCTTCTTCTTCTTCCGTATGAGTTTACTATTTCCTTTGCTCTCGGCTAGCTATTCGAACTTGCCACGTACTCTCCAGATGCCAACTATCGCCTTTAGTAAAGTACTTTTTTTTTTAGAATTTTCTTTTCGGTTTCCTAATAGTAGAAGGGGAAATTTATTCTAAAAAATTAAAGAGCAGTAAAACTTCGGTGATCGGAAAAACGGTGATGAAATGAAACGCTATAGGAACTGTTATTTTACGACGTAAGGCATCTCACGAATGTTCATAATTATTATGTCAATTGCATATTCTAATTACTGAATTGACACTATTAGACAAAGGAATGCATACAGTTTTGATAATGCTGCGCTGGCATCAGTGCGTTGCTTACTTTTTGGTTGAATTGGACGTTTTGAAATAATGGCTGAGGTCTTAGTAGCGCAGAAAATATAATATTTCAATATTTCGTAGCTGTTCTCGCGTCCAACCCGCGAAAGAGTATGTGATATTATAGCACCATTAGTTTACTTTCCCGTATACGTACGTATTATACGGAATAATGTACGTAGTATAGGGAAAGTTATGTTTTGCTGGGGAAATTCGATATCGAGATTTCAACGGAAATGTACGTTTTGGGGTCCCCTGATACCAAAAAAGTATTTTTTAACATTCGTCCGTCCATCTATCTGTCTGTAAACACAACTGTAGTTGTAGCACGAAGCTAAAAAAATCGGCCCTTTTTAATTTTCGAAAAATTAATGAGATAACCGTGAAAATCGGACTTTTGCCACTTTTGTACGTGTATGTTTCACTATTCTTACAAGAAATTTAAAAGAAAAAATTGGAGTGATTTGTGAGAAAATTTTGAAAATGTCCGGGGGCTTTGTGTAAAGTACCCCCAAATTTTTAAGAAAGTTATTCAAAATCGTGGCCCCTCGAGTGGAGCCAGAACGACCTAGGAATATCCATTTTGGAAAAAATGGTACGTATGGTTTAGGCACTAGTGTTCACAGATAGACGGACGTTAAAAAACAACACGGTATCAGGAGACCCCAAAACTTGTATTTCCATTGCAATTCCGAAATCGATTTTCCGCACCATTATATACCTTTCCCTATACTGCGTATATTACCCCGTATATACGTACGTATACGGGAAAATAAAAGTTTGAACTTTGGATTTTTCAGATGATCCCATTGATTCTTCGTCGTCGTGTGTATTAATTAATATTATCGATTCGTTTGTTTCTTCGTCGTGAATTTTTAGGACTGTAATGATCGCAAGGCGTTACTATTTTTGCCTTTTCTTCAACAGTTGGGTTGATAGTTGCAGTGTATCCATGGGGACTCTTACAACGCACAAGCAGATTTGAGATCTTGCTGCGATGATTGTAATGAAACGCTGATTGACGGAAACCTCGACAAAATTTGATCCCACAGTACAATCATAATCCCAATCTCTAATTTCTCCATAGTATGTAAGAGTGGTCTAGCTTGTTGCCTGTTCTCATTTTTGCAGTCAGAATCATTGATACTTTGGTCTACAACATTCATGATAACATTGTATCCTTTATAAAATGCTAAAGTAGCGTCTCCCCGTGCACTCCAGGGGCGGTTCTTTTTAATGTTCACAGGTTCACGCAAACCCAAAAATTGAGCAAAATAGAATTTACACTTCGTTATTACAATATCATCAATAGTCCGCCTTTTTTCTGCTCCTCTTTTTACAATTGCCATACCAGTAATACATTGACTAATGCGGCGAATACATACTACGTTGTACGATAATGCGGCGAATACATTCTACGTACAATGTGTCTACGTTGCTGTTCTCGTTTTCGAAACAACACCTCGCTCAGAACTTGTTCTGTAAGGGCCACTGGGTACCACGTGACGTGGCGTAGTTTTCATAGGGCGCTTTCATCGCATCATGTTCACGCTTACGCCGTGAACTCCGCTTGGTGTAGCATGTATCAGACAATGGCAACACACTACTGCGAGGCGAAGCCGACGAAGCCTCGGTTCGCGCATTCAATTTTTTTATTTTGTAAATTTTTTATTTTTTGAGGGGGGAGGAGATTGAGAAAAATTACCCCCCCAAAAAATTGAATTCGCGATCCCCCCGTCGATCCGCGCCTGCTTCAGATAATATTCTTAAAAATGTTAGTATTTTTAACATCAAAAACGTTTACAATAGTCAAAAATGGTGTGTTTTTTTCCTTTCAAGGTGGCCTATTTCCAAGTTTAGCTATTGAAATACTTTCGTGACATAATTTCTCAAATTTGCATTTTTTAGACGTTGTTTATTTTATTTTTAGGTGAATATAATTTTTGTAGATGTTAATGAAAATGTTTGATTCTATTATTCAAATTGAACCTGGCGCACCGACTCTGGTGTGTCACGTGGCCAACAGTAGTGGAATGACGTGATTTGACCATTGTCAACGTGTATGTGTGTTTGAAGAAAAGTCACGACTTGTCGTCACTTTCAGTCATTTTCTAGTGTTGTGTCATATGTTATGACGTATATCATGTATATCATCATGAAAAAGAGCCTTGTGTTCGCTTGTGCTGTTGTCAATGCATGAAGCTTGTTCACTTTGGTTCACGTCTGTTAAACTATTTGACTCAAATGCTGTGTGATTAAAACTATTTTGTAGTCATGTATAGATTATTAAATGACAAATAAAATACAATATTCAATAACGACTGGAAGTACACGCTGTGGGAATTGCTTTCCAACTCAAACTGACCGATGTGAGATTTATTTGGAAGGATGAAGCTACACCTACATAACCACGTAGCGTTTCATTAGATCTGCATCTGCGCTTATATTGTTGTATGCAGGGGCTACAATGTTAAATGGGCATCGATTTTGAGTTGCATCGAACAGTCGTTTTTATTTTCGATTTCCCAACACTTGATGCTATGGATACAAAAATGTTAGACTAACCATGTTCCAAAATCATTGTGCGAGAAATGCTCACCGTTACACATTGTCGTGATATCGCCTTGTCAGTTTTTTTATTCATATCGCTTTAAAATGAGATAAGTGATATTTCTGACAAGAAATGGTCGATGACGTATTTAAAGTAATTATTTCCAATAGCTTGAATTAAAACATGCGTACAGTTCTGAATACGTGGCTAAGTCATTGGGTAGTATACGTAGATAACTTGTCATTATTTTACTTGGTTAGTGTAGTGATATCGTTCTTAGCCGTGTTTGCTAGTTGGTGGTTTCACAAGAAAGATACACGTGTATTAAGTGACGACGTTATAAAAGAGGTAAGTTTCAGTATTGGAGAATGAATTTTCTTAATTGTAGCATATGGACTTCGACTTGAGATTTCTAAGTGCACTGAATCCACAGCTTATGTTGTTTTTGATTTTCAGAGAGAAGCATGTGATACCGATGAGCAGGTATGTTTTTAGTGTTCTAAACCTTAAAAAGTTCCAGTTTTTATCACACAAATTAGCAGCAATAATAATTTTATTTACCTTTGTCACTTTCATTGAGAATGATGAAAAAATAGTGTTAGAATGAAATTGATGTTTACTTTAAAAAATATAAATTCTAGGATCTCTTGAAGGAAGAAGATAGTTTGGAAGATGTTAGTTTATTGAGACAATTCAGAAAGGTTCGGCAAAATGCAATTGAACAGAAAATATTGTCTACATTTACCTCAGAGCAGCTAGAAGAAGAAAGAAAGTAAGTGATTTATATTCAAATTAGTGTTTGTAAAAATTATTTCATTGAATCTAGATCTCAATATTTTCATACCCTGTAGGGCTGAAAAAGAACAGTTAGCAGCCATTTTCCAGTTGCTGAATGAAGAAAAAGAAAAGTTTCAAGTCAATTCTATGGAGGAATTAGAAAGTCAACTTCGGTTATACCGGCAGTAGTTCAGTGATTGGTTAAATATCTAGAATGTACCTGCAGCATTTGTACCTCATTAAATATGTATGATCTACATATATTTTATAATATGTATATATATATATATATAAATAGTCTTGCAAAAATGTTTTGTAGTCACAGAAAACTAATATATTAGTAAATTGTTTTTTTATAAAGAAGTTCATTTGATTGTATAATAGAGGTTTGATGCAAACTACATGATGTACAACTGATCTGATGATTCATGGTGTAACCTTTCTTAATGACTATCATAACAAATTTGAATTTTCAGAAAAGTAAATACTATTAGATACTTAAGTATAAATTACCTAGTTTTGCATCAAACCTTCAAATTTTTCCTTACTTCTGCTTAAATTATGTCTAAGTGTATAACATCCTTTTCATTTGTAATATGTGACGTTTGTTTTTGGCATGGAATGGGTTAGGTAAATTTTGTCTACTTAAACAACTTAACTTGAAGGACGGAAATTTAAATGCAGCAGTAAATGAAAGTATGTGGTTCCTTCCTTTAAATGATAAATCAAATTTAAATTATAAATAATTCAACAATCTTTCTGTTTCTGGAGATTTAAAGACAATACAAATGTTATTGCTGAACCACATAAAATTTTAACTTAAATCTTAAGGTTAAATGATGGACTTCATTTCACCTTATAATAACAATAAGTTACATACCAAGTAAAATTACATACATAGTCTTGACCCATAAATATGTCAATTTCAACACTTGCTCTGTTTACGTAAATATAAACTTAACTATATCGTATTTACCCACTGTCAATAAATCCCTCAATGGCTATTTGTTTAGTGCAACTAATATTTCAGCAGTAGACAGGTCACCAGGGAGCCTCTTCCAGTATTTTCTTTATTATTATACTCTGAAATAAGCATCCCACCTTACACTCTCATATAAACAAATTTCTAGCTTTCGCCAATGAAAAGGGGCAGTGTTCCTTGTACTTTGGAGTATTTGAAATATTCTAAAAATTTGAGAAAAAAATAGATCTATAAAGAAATAGTAACTAAATTAATTACAGTTTTATGGTTACCTTAGGTTTATTAACCTTAAAGGAAATTTTATCTGTGGCAGTTGTGCTATATGTCTGCATCGGTACGCATTTGTTGAGTAATATTCCGTTTCTGTCTCCTGTTTTGGAACTTTTGCATTAGTGCTGGAACTTTTTTCATTGCTCCTTTTCATTGAATATCCTACTAAAGGTGAAAGAAGAGTTTAATTTCCATTTATATGTTACTTAGATACTTTTATCACATTGTTTACTTTTTCTTCTACAGGAGTTAATGAAGCTGTCCATTTAGTGTATTTCAAGATTGAAACCACTGATCTCCATATGGAGAGACAACAAATCTACAGAGAGATAATATATCTACACATAAAAACATTTTCCCTCTACAATAAAACCTCGCTGGTCCAAACCCCGGAAATCCAAAATTTCGGATAATCCGAACAAAATTTGGGATGGAGGAAAAATAAACAAAATAAATAAAATGCTTATTTGTATTGTAAAGAAAGGATTTTATAATTACTGTAGAACTGAACAACTAATTATTGAAACACAAGTTATAGAAATTAGGGGTGTATTGCTCTGTTAACTATGATGTATATCACATGTTTATGTAGCAATAATTTTCACTTAGAATAAGTTGCCAAATTGATTATCTTTTGCAGCAAGGAACTGAACCTGCTTGATGCTGTGATGATGCAAACTCTACGCTACATTGCCATTATCTCACATAGCACGCTACACTGCATAGTCAGCTAATCCTAAAGATGTATTGATATAAGTTCAGTACATTTTTTGGTACAATTAGTTCGGATTGCCAGTACATGTAGGGGTTGCAATATAGAATCATAGGGATGCAAAGTGAATGCAAGAATGTTTCCAATAGCCATTGGTCCTTGAAGTATGTGTTAAATATTTCACAATACTAATTGGGAGGGCTATTTGTTGAGGGAATAAGAACTGAAAGAGGGAATGGTGTGACCTGCTGGAAGAATAAATTTAATAATAATAATAATAATAATATTTATTGAGTCACACATACAATTACAATGTATATGATGAGTCCAATATGATATATTTAGAGGGAGCACAATCGCATACATCTTCTTGGGAGCAGCAAGTGAAGTAACAGTTATAGTCCAAAAGCAAAACAAGGGGCCATCTCAGCAAAGTACCAGGGAAACTGGACAAAAAACCTGATCAAGATGGGGTCATTGGCCTAGAGATTATACTACAATACTTGTTACAGCTATATTAAGATATTACATAGTAGATAATGATTTTTAGTAGCAAATAACTTACTTTAATTTAATTTAAAATTGATTAACATTTCAAAATTTGTACCATTTCAAAATATCATTTTCTTGGAATAGTGATTTTACTGCTACTACTTATAATAATAATAGCAGTACGTGATAACAATTATGGTAACAGCTACATATGATTTAACAGTATTAACATATTCCTTGATTAAAACTTGAAATGAGGAGGAGGCAGGTGATGGCCAGATTTTTTCCTATTTCTACACCTAGTCCTACTGCAACACCTGAAATCATTGCACATGTTAGTCATTGAGGTATTCCTGAATGCTATAAAAAAATTTTTCCCCAAGGATGTGTTTTGAGTATTTTCTTTAAGTTGTACAAGCCTGTCATGTTTCCGAGATGTAATGGTAATTAGTTGAAGAATTGTATACCTGAAGAGAACATACTCTTTTGGTATAATGTGCTTGTACACATTGGTTGGTGAAGGTTACACGCTTGCCATGTGTTGTAGGGGTGTAAGTTTGAGTAAAATTTATAAAGTGTGTCATTGTTTTCTAGATTTTTCTTGATAACTTCATAAATAAAAATATAAGACAGTGGAAGTATGTTAAGTTGTTTGAAATGAGGTCTGCAGGATTCTGTTCTTTTTGTATTTGTTATTGTTTGAATGATTCTCTTTTGTATTTTGAATGTTTGTTTAGCCTCTGGTGCTTGGCCGCCCCATATTATTATCCTGTATTTGAGAATAGAGTGCACACTTGCAAAGTACACTGTTTGTGCTGTCTCAGTGGTGCTGTTTCTTATTATTATTTTAGAGCATAACTAAGTTTGCACAATTTTGAATTAATATCTCCATTTGAGCTTGAATTGTATGGTGATTCCGAGAAATTTTTTTTTCTGTGCTTATGTGATGTCGTTTCCTTCTAATGTTAAATTTGGTGAGTATTGTTGTGTTGAGTGGGAGTTGTGGTAGGGTATTGTAATTGTTTTGTCTCGGTTTAAGATTTGTTTGTTATGGTGGATCCATTGTATTAGCTTGTCGATGACTGAATTGGTTTTGTCTTGCAAAGCTTTGCTTGTTCTTTCTTTGAATATTATATTAGTGTCATCAACAAAATGTACAGTTTTGTTATTTTCCATTATTGATGGCAGGTCATATACAAATATAAGAAATAAAATCGGGCCTAGTGTGGGTTCTTGCGGGACCCCCATATGTCACATCCCTTGGCTCTGTGTGGTGATTATTTATTTTGTTGTCCTTTTGGTAAGTTAATACTACAATTTGTTTTCTGTCTGATAGGTATGATTTTATCCAATTGTAAGCAATTCCTTGTATTCCATAAGATTCTAATTTTGACAATAGAATTGTGTGATCTATTGTGTCAAAGGCTTTTGACAGGTTGAGAAAGAGACTAACAGGAATTTCTTTTTGCTCTAATGCCATGAAGATTTCATTTACAAAGGTGAATAGAGCAGTTTCAGTTGAACGATTTTCCCTGTATCCATGTTGTTAGTCAGTGATGTGAAAGTGTATCAATTAGTTTTTTAATCTTTCATAGAACAGTTTTTCTAATATTTTTGAATAACCTGTCAAGAGTGAAATAGGCCTATAATTTATTACATCTTGTTTGTTACCTTTTTGTGTATAGGTTTAATTACAACAGTTTTAAATATGTTTGGGAAGGAACCATGAGTTAGTGATTGGTTGTATAAATATGTTAATGGTTTGATGATATATGGAGCAATCTTTTTTATTAAGAAGTCTGGAATGTTGTCTATCCCAGCGGATTGTTTATTTTGCATTTTGTTTATAATTTGAAGTATTTCCTTTTCTGTTGTTTCTGTGATGTATATGCTAGAAAGAGAGATTTTAAAGAAAGGTAATGGTTGTAGAGGTTGTTTGGAGTTCTTGTTTCTAGTAGTCTACCAGCAATTTCAGAGAAGTGTTTGTTGAATATACTGGCTGTTTCATTAGGGTTTGTTATTCTGTGTTCATGGAGTAGTTCAATATTTGTTATTATGTTATTCACTGGAAACGTGTGTTGTTGTTTTTTAAAATATTCCACATAGCTCTTGTTTTGTTTTTGAATTTTTTTATATACTCATCATTTGACATTTGTTTGGTGTTTTTTAAGTATGGCTGAATATCGCTTATAGTAGTTGACTATTTGACAATTGCGCGAGTCTTCTTTTGTGAATTTATAAAGGTCTCTTTTTGTCTTTCACAAGAAATTTTAATACCTTTTGTTATCCATGCTTTGCTGTTTTGTGATACTGTAGTGGATGTGAGGTGTTGAAATAGTGTTTGATTGTATTAAAGAAAGTGTCAAACTTAAGGTTGACAGATATTTCATATACCCCTGACCATGATTAATTAGTTAGCAGTGAGATGAGATTGTTCAGTTTTTTTCATTATACTTCCTGGTCTCCTTTATTAGATTTGCTTTTGGTGAGGTGGAATTTATTTTAAGATTGAGTATTTGAGCGTTGTGGTCACTGAGCCCCAAATCATTAGTGGTGATGGCAAATTTGATTATATATGAAGTAGTCATAGGATATCCATGTGTATGATCTCTTTGTTAATTTATGTATCTGAAATATGACTCTCATCCAAGTCATTTTAAACAAAATATTTATTTCCGTAATTCATTTATTTAAATTAATGGAAAAGTGCTATAAACAGATTGAAGTTTTCAGAATATATGATGAAATATTTCATTGTTTCATTGATCTTGAAAATATATTATTTCTAAAC